GATAAAAATATTTGGTGCTTTCAAGAGAAAAACTTGATAAAACTTGCAAATATCCAAATGTCAAAAAATTTTTTTACTTAAATAAAAATTGTTTCTTGCACAGATAAAATTGAAAGTATATTTTAGCGCTAAGTAACCAAGAAAGCTTGTAGATAGATAGCTACCGGTTAAATTGAAACAAAATATCTTAAACCAAAATATTACTGGGGCTCACATTAGGACAGGACTTTAAAAACTAAAATTATTATTTTTTAGCTTGTAATTAACCATAGTTCAAAACATGACAAAGAACAAGTGAAGCCAAGTAATTTTTAATTTATTAAAAATATATACGCTTACAAAAAACAATTTGCGTCGAAATAAAAAATCTAAAAATTCAGTAATAATGAGAATATAAGTTATAGAATATTTACAACTCTCAAAAAAAAACATTTACAACGTTTATTGAAAAATTTTGATCGTAAATGTTTTAAAGGAAAAAGATCTCTATATTAGGTTAAACATTCACCTGTTTTTTACCTTTAGGATTTTTTGAAAGCGATAAATAAGGTTTAATAAAAGATGAATAGACTTTATGTCTAAAAATGACTTTTTGAATATTGATACTGTAAGATTGTACTGTAATATTGATAATATTGTACTGTAATATTGATAATAAATTTATTTCCAAAATGTTTTTTTTTTTTTACTGAATTCATGTTCCCAAAGTCGAGTGGGCGAGTCTAGTCGAGGAAATTCTTATATTGCTTACAACCCTCTCTCAACTCTTTAACTCCTAAACACTTTTAGGATTTAAAGAGTTGAAAGAGTGTTGTAGTCAATAGGTGGATATACACAACAGGTTGATGTACATTAAACATATAATTTAATTTATAATTATTCTTTTTTATTATGAAATTTTTTTCTAATCAAGGAAACTTTGGTTGACAAAACCCGCCCCTGATAGTGTTAACACAAAATTAGATCACTGAAAAAAAAAGACGCAAAAAAACTTTAAATCAATGGTGCACATACAGTGAATTAAAAAAAAGACCGTAAGAACAGTGAAAAGACCGTAAGAACTGTGAAAAGACCGTATGAACTGTGAAAAGACCGTAAGAACTGTGAAAAGACCGTAAGAACGTCTGGGTAAGTAACCATAAGCACTTTAATAAAGACTCTGAAAAAAAAAGTTTTTTTTTAGCCTTCTTTTAGTGTACGTTAAAATACTCTTATAATTGTTGCCTTTAGTTAGAATATATTTTTAAATTCTTTTTCAATTTTTTACGTTTGAAAGAAATATTTTTGGGTTTCTTGATCAATAAGTTTTACCAAAGTCAGACTTTGGTAAAATTAACATTACTACAGTAACTTAACTCTTCAGCTTTTTTTTTAAAGTATTAGGTTTCGACATTAGTAAAATAAAGCTGCGCGCTTTATTTTACTAATGTCAAAATCTAATACTTTAAATATTGTTTTAGTTTTGTTTAGTTATAATCTTTTTTCTAAATCAATGCCTTTGGTCTTGTCCAAGCCACTATCATTTGTATTATATTAATTTCTAGTTGACTCTTTAACCGTGACAAGGACAGCCATGGCATGTTATGACCTCTTGCTATACCGCTTGCAATGCTTGAAATGATGAAGTTAGACTTGGTATGGTGCTGTGAGTTGTATTTCTATTGTCTTTATTTGATTCTAGTTGTTTAATTCCATTAGTAAGAAGTATTAAGAAGAAGAAATTGTTTCATCTTCTTTTCTGTTTCTTACTTCTTTTTTTAATTCATAGTTTGTCTAACAATTTAATGGAAAATGTTAGAAATAACCTTTCAGGATCAACAGTAAGACAACAACAAATACCATTAATTGACTCATAATTTAAACTAGTATTCAGTAAGAGGGATATTTCCCAAAACATCAAGTGGTTTTCCTCCTGTTCTTTGTTTATTTATACTTGTTTATTAATCCTTATAAAAAGGGAAATAAAAGTTTTAGAAAATGTTTTTTTTTCACGATATAAGTTATTATGCATTGTACATTACATAAAATACACAAAGCAGTATATAACATATAGTTTTTATCAATAAAGTTTTACTAAAAAAATATATATAATATACAATAATAGCATGTAAAATATGATAAACAAAAAAATATATTACACAAATCTACAGTATAAAGTCTACAAATACTTTTGATATAGGGTTTGATAAATTTTGATATTTAAAAAAATAAAAAAATTATCGCCATAATTTGCATTTTTTAAGTAAAACGGCTTATTTTCTAAGTTTTGACTCATTTTAAAAGTTATTCTTCAAAAACTGTATGTGCACCATTGATTAAAGTTTTTTTGCGTCATTTTTTTTCAGTGATCTAATTTTGCGTTAACACTATCAGGCGCGGGTTTTGTCAACCAAAGTTTCCTTGATTAGAACTATAAAGTTTCCCTTACTTAATCAGTAATAAAATCAAAAGGTTGCAGAATTATTTTAGGCGCAATTTAAAATTATTTAGTAGCAAACAAACCTTAAAAATAATAATTTACTTGGTGATTTTAAATCAATAACTTAAGAGAACGTCATAACAGTTAAAGCTTTTGTATAATTTTTTGTTTGTAGAATTTCAGTTTCAGTTTCAGTTTCAGTTTCATTTGTAAAGGATTACTTATTTATTTCTGCATTTGTAAAGGATTACTTATTTATTTCTGCATTTGTAAAGGAAAAACTTATTTAAAAGCACTTTCTATAAAAATAATCTTTTTCTTAAACAAAAAATTATTATCATTTAAATAAACTTATATGTATGTAAATATGTATGATAAAAGTCATGTAAAAGTCATGTAAAAGTGGTTGTTACCCCCAGAGTTGTTAGTCCTTGGCCTTGACTTTGGCCTTGCCTTAAAAGTTAAAAGTTTTTTAATAAGAGGGATAACAAGTTAGAGTTTTTATTTATTAATATTTTATCTTTTATGCAACAATAAAATAAATTTATTTACAATGAACTTGTTGTTGTTTAATAAATTTTTAACAAAGTTTACTTGGCCATTCTGTTCGTTGTCTACTTGGCCATTCTGTTCGTTGTCTAAAATGTTTACTTGGCCATTCTGTTTGTTGTCTAAAATGTTTACTTGGCCATTCTGTTCGTTGTCTAAAATGTTTACTTGGCCATTCTGTTCGTTGTCTAAAATGTTTACTTGGCCATTCTGTTCGTTGTCTAAAATGTTTACTTGGCCATTCTGTTCGTTGTCTAAAATGTTTACTTGGCCATTCTGTTCGTTGTCTAAAATGTTTACTTGGCCATTCTGTTCGTTGTCTAAAATGTTACTTGGCCATTCTGTTCGTTGTCTAAAATGTTTACTTGGCTATTGTGTTCGTTGTCTAAAATGGAAAGACATGTTTTAAAAATAACATGCACCAAAACACGAGAAAAGAGCTTAAGCAGATGGTTATTTTTTTTACAGTTTACAGTTTCCAAGAAATACCAGTGGTAAAAGATAAGATGAAAAGGCGTAAGAATTTTAGTTAGTACGTTGACACCCACAGATAAACTAATGTGTTAAAGATTCAGTAAGTGTGTTGCTAATCGAAAAAATTTCCGAATACTGAGGTAATAATTTTGACTTGATTTATAATTTAACAGCTAATGTAAGTTTTAGGCAATTACGAAAAAGTTATTGTATTTCAGATTGACTACCTGTTTAATCAAAGAGTGATTTTATATCAAATCTAGAAAGGTCAGGGTAACAACATCAGTTTTTACTATGTCTAATAACATCTGTCCAACAACATCTGTATTATTTATATGTAGTTATTTGTCGGGCTGACTTTGTATCAGATTATAAAGTTTTTTGCAAGCTTTAAAGATGCATTACAGTGGCGGTCTTTCGCCATCCTCATAAACGCACAAGCTGAATTAAATGCACATAGAGTATCCTTCAAAAAGTTTATGGTCAATTTTTAAAATTAAAGTTGAAAAACGTGGTTAAGAACAATATAACTAATAAGCAAAAGTTTTTACGTTTTAATATTATGCATAAAATATTATACATATTAAAAATCATAAGTATATACAAATATATCTTTAAGAATTCTATATAATAATTTCATATTTTCATATAATACAAATTAAAATTTACGATTATATATATATATATATATAATTTTTTTATAATGGTAAATAAATAGATTATATATTCTATTATTTTTAACCCAAAAAACATTTTTTTTACAAAAAAAAAATTAAAGTTTAAATATGACAAATTTTCAAAAGCCGTATAGGACAGAAACAAATTTTCACCAGTCATCTTTGATGATGACTGGTGAAATTTCATAAATTATCGTTTATAATGACTGGTTTTTACTATTTCACTTATGTACTTGTACACATTTGTCTTTCAATTTATTTGGAAGACTTCGTATTTTTGGCACAGAAAAACAAATCACCTTTCCTCTTATTCCGTTTTTCAAAAACAATTTTGATATTTAAAAATGGTTAAGGGAATTAGTATTTGTAGACTTTTTAATTGAAAAAAAATTTTTAAACATTTTTTCTTAGAAAAGTTGTTTCAAAAGCAGTAAAGTTAACAGTTGAGTTGTTATTCATAATTGTACCCCCATGCGTTGAACTGATATTATTTATTCTTATAAGTAAAAGCACAAAACAACATTTCTTTTCAAATAACTTAAATTTCAACTAAACATTTCTCAGTGACTTAAAATATTTGCATATTTTTACATTGCTAGACGTACACATTGTTATGCTTACTGATACGCAGTAAGCCAATGTGCGTATCTATTTCAGATAAACCCTAACCCTAACCCTGACGGAAGCCTTTAAATAAAATTTTATCGTTTCACTTTTTCATAAATCATGACCTATTGAATTTAGTAGATGTTCAACTTAATATTTCTTAATTTTTATTTCCTAATTTAAATTTTCACTTTTACACTCTGCACTTTTAGCTTATACCTAACAGCTCTATATTTAAATTATAAAAAACCTAACAAAGTATTAAAAGTCGAGTGTTTTTTTAAATCGTCATGTTTATTTAAACAAACACGACGAGTTAATTTTTAAAGAGCTGGTTCATCGTCCGGAAATGCCAATCCATACTTTAATAAAACTGTAGTAAAATCTAAAAAATAAAACAAACTTGCCAAGTTTTTGATTATTTAATATGAAATCTTAAATTTTGTTATATAAAAAATTTAAAAATGTGACCTACAAATGAAATTCATACCTGGAGTATTTAAGCAGATAGAAAATTTTTCAAAAATGTTAATTTTCACAAACATGTAATAAACTGGAACACCCAAGAATATTAAAAAAAGAGCAACAAGACTTCCTAGCCAGTCTTCATAGAATGGAAGTGCTGTTAAGCAAATTGAGACAAGAATCATAATAACAGGTATCGGTAAGAAAACCTAAAACAACAATAACGTAATAAAAATACGTTTTTTATGTGTAATAAAAGATATTTTAAAAATTTTTATATTTCAAATTTTATATTAGTATGCTCGATTACTTATTACTATTATACTATAATATTTATATTAAATATTATCAACTTAATTATGCAAAACATAATATCTAATTATACAAAGTGTAACACCTAATGATGCAAAATATAATATAACACTTAATTATGCAAAAAAAAAAAAAAAAAGGATATAAAAAAACACACTTTATAAGGTCGTTTCAAATCCTTGCGCTTGAATCTCAAAAAAATAAGTACTATAAAACATAGGCCATAAAACAACCATGAAGCAAAGCTAAAAATACCAACCAAGCTCTCAAATTTACTTGCTTTTGGTATAAGCATGAGAACAGATATTAATGCCTAAAAAGGTCTAAGAATGTATAAAGTTCATACATAAAGATTTAATACAATAATGATTTAAAAAATGAACTTTAAAATATAGATTCAAACTACAGTAACAACTAACTGTAAAAATTAATGAAGGCAATGGAGTTTTGCGTTTAACATGAATCATTGCTAAAAACTTTGGCATGTGTCTTTCTCTTGCCGCAACATAAACTAATCTATTTAAAAAAAGTTATTATTGTTGTCATTGTTGTCATTAACATTGTTGGTGTCATCAGTATAATCAGAATAATTAGCATAATTAGCATAACCAGCATTATTATCAGCATTGCAATAACTATACCTGCCGCTAGTAAATAAAAGGCCATTGACTGCACCAAAACAAGATAACCCGACAAGAACCGGAACAACAAACTTCCCAACTCCAAGGTATCTGTTACCCAAGTCCTAATGATAATAAAAACATGCAATAACAACTAATAGTTATTATTGCATGTGATGAAAGAAATGAATTACTACATATAAATTAAATAATATATATGACTTATAATAAATACAAAATTTATTTTGATTTTACAAATGATTGATTATTAAGTTTGCTTTTTTATTTTTTATATTTAATATCTTTTTAAATATTTTTCTAAAAAAATTAAAATATCAAAATAAAACATAAAAATTGATGAAATTTATCAACTCATTAATTTATCATAACTACTAAATGTTTTATCATAACTACTACATGTTTTATCATAACTAATACATGTTTTAACACAATTACTACAAGTTTTATCATAACTACGCATAAAGCATTTCATCATTATCATGGATTTTTTTGAGCTGAATCAAATTTAAGAAAAATTTAAAGAGCAAATATAGGATATTATATCCATCATACTTTACTTCTTCCCTGAGTAAATCCAGTAATCAATCAATTAATCAAATCAATTAATCAAATCCAGTAATTATAGCCAATTAACCATTGTTAACTATTCATATCTATTAATTAAAACTGATCAAAAGATATTTCTAGAAAATCATACAACTTTTTAGAAACTGTTTAATAGAATAAAATCAGCCGGATATTCTGAATAGTTAAACCTTTCAAAAAAAATTTTATGTACACCAACATACTTCAATTTTTACCAGCATTTTAACAATGTTATACTTAAAATTAACAGAGCATAATCTACTTTTAATTTAAGTAAAAAATTTTTAAGAATTTAAAACCAGTTTATCAAAATTAGAAATCAAAAACATTTTTTGAATAATTTATGCATTTATTGCTGCTACATTCACACATATTAATTTGTTTAATTCATAGAGAAGAATATTTTTTTTATCAAATGACATTAGAAAGAATTTTATCTTTTAGAACCAGTCAAAAAAACCCATTAAAATAACATAAAGTAAATATTGTAAAAACCTAATATTTTTAATTCTTGAACTTTATTATTAAAAAAAATAATCTTAATAAACTTTTATGTGTCTACATCAATACTCAGTTGTTAAAGGTTGATAAAAAAGTAATTTAAAATTGCATTTTCGCTGTAAAACATGCCATTTGTAATTGACACTAACCTTTATATAAATACTAGTAATAGTTTTATTAGTGGTATTAAAAACACTTTTAAAAAATACTAAACTGTATTTTTGTGCTAAAAGGCTGTCCAATACAAAAAAGTTTTTTTATAGCAATTTAAAAACATTTTTATAACATTTCAGCCTACAACTGTGGTATATAGCACTCCAAAACAATTGTACTATATTGCAATCCAAAATTAGTAGTATTATGTAAAACATAGTTAAAACATATACAAACATATTAAACAAACAACTTATGTAAAAAAAATAAAACATACAATACTAGAATCACTAATTAAGAGTCTCACCAGTGCTACAGCTGAAGAACTTTTAATAAAAATAGGACCAAGGACAGCAATGTATGCAATATTGCACAATAAATAACATCCCATCACCAAAACCATTGAAATTGTAATAGCCAATGGCATTTGCCTTTAATTAAAAAAATAAAAATTTATTTTTTTTTTTTTTTTTATTATTTTTTTCAAATGCAACCATGTAAAAAACAGATTGAGATGCATTAAACGTTTAATAAAAAAAATAACTTAAAAAAATAGATTAAATAATAATAAAACAAAACTTATTAAAAACCTTGAAGGGTTTTGCATTTCTTCAGTCACATAGTTTAATGAGTTCCTGAATAAATAAAAAAAATTTATGATTCTGTTTATACTTATCATTTAAAATTCTTTTAAAGGAAATTTAATCCAACAAAAAATTAGCACAGCTCTTCGAACCTGAGTTTAGTTATCTTGAAAAGCAAATTTTGAATGTGCATAAATTAAAACATGACAAAATGAAATTTCCACTTTCACTAAAATGTTCAATATAACTTCTGACTTCCATAAAATATTCAATATAATTTATAACTTCCATAAAATGTTCAATATAACTTCTAACTTCCATAAAATGTTCAATACTACTTCCAATTTCTATAAAATGTTCCAGAACAGCTTATGAATTCCGTAAAATACTCAATATAACTTCTGCCTTCCATAAAATGTTCAATACAACTTCCGCCTTCCATAAAATGTTCAACACAACTTCCACCTTGTATAAAAGATGTTCAGGGAAATTTCTACTATATATAAAATTTTCCATAAAATTTTCATTTCACATTACAAATGATGCTATTTTAACCTTACATAAGATGTTCAGTGAAACTAACAACTTCTTCAAGACAAGTATTAACATACTCAAGTTAAATGTAAATTTCACCATATATAGCATGTCTGATAAAATTTCCACTTAACATGAAATATTTTGTATATCAAATCAATTGCAAAATTAGCATCTGCTAAGGTTGCATCTATTTATCGTGCTTAACACTTTCTTACTCCAAATTCTATTCTTTATCTCTATAAATCTCAAATTTGTCCTTTTATGAAATACTGTTGCAATATCTGGGGTAAATTTTCTAATGATACCTTTTCTCTTTTAGACAAGGTGCAAAAACGAACTGTAAACATAGTTAGACCTGCTCTTGCAGCCAACCTCCAACCCTTTTCACATTATCTTAATGTTGCTTCTCTTTCTCTTTTCTACAAATACTATAATAGGCACTGCTTAAAAGAGCTAGCGTCTCTTGTGCTATCTACTAAAGTTCATTCTCTTGTTACTTGTCATTCAATTAAGTCTCATCCTTTTTCTATGACTGCTCCAAAAATTCTTACTCTAAAATGTTCAACAAAATATTTTGTACTTAAAACAACAAATGACTAACTTATGATTGCTACCTGAAACAACTAATGTTAGAAAAATTTATGACATTGCAAAATTTGAAGTTGAATATAGAAAAAAAAAAGTGTTTTTGCATGTTATTGACAGTAGAACATTTTAACTACAACAAGTAGAACATCTTATTACAATAAGTAAAAGATCTTATTCCAGCTAGTTACATTTTAATGATAACAGTAATAGTCTTTTTCTACCATTTAATATGATAAAAATAGTGAAGCTGTCCATAGTAAAAAAAATTATAATCCTTAGACACCCATTAAATAATTATTAAGTTTGAGGTTACCATGGCTTTTAAAATGCTATTTGATAGGCTTGTCATAAATTAAAAAAAAAATAGTTGTTTCCTACTGTGATTAAAATTACATTAATATGAAGAATATAGCCCATTCATGTCCTTCACTATATAATGACAATAATAATTACATAAACAAGTTCCATATATATTTAAAATCCCATGAAACATATAACATTACCATCCATCATATGCCCATAAACCAAAATAAAATGCTAAACTAAGCTGGCCAGCATCGGTTGTAGTGCCATTAAATGAATCTTTGAAACTGGTTGTGTTCCCTGAATAAATATTTATAAACAAATTTTGAAAATTTAAATATTTTGTTATTTAATAATAATAATAACATAATTGTAATAAAAATAACAAAACAACTCCAATCATCAAAATAAACTTTATTTTTATGATTAAAATAAATAAATTTGCAACAACTCTTGCATAAGTTAGGGGCTGCAGAAAATGATAAGCAAGAATTAAGATGAAAAATAATGGTAAATGCAAGACCACCACCCCCTTCCAATAAAAATATATGCATCAAAATAAAATGAGAGAAAGAATTGCAGAGGTATTTGCTATAAAAGCTAGGTAAATAATGGAATAGAATTATTGGCATATTTAAAAAAAAAGCATGCCTGTAAAATGTTTAATTCAAAAAGTTCTTAATAGCATCAATTTCTGTAAAGCTTACAAAGCTTAAAAAGGTTATCATGTTATCTTGTAAAAAACAGATTTTAAAAACTTGACTTATTAAATTATTAACCATGTTTAATTAATGCCTTGCAAGCACTGATCCGTTATGGATCTTACTTTAATTATGGATATTACTTTAAATTTAGATAAAATACATTCTTATATGGATTACATAGACTATGAAGCAAGTCTTTTTAAAAAAATCACAGTAACTGATAACCATGTGATAACGTCATATTAGCTAATAAGATAAACTCTGATTAAGCTAAACTTTTTAAGAATAAGATTAGCTTCAGCAAATATAAAATGTAGTTGTTTTAAAATGTCCTTCTTGTCATATCATTTTATATCAAATCTTAAAGTATAATAAACTAATATTTATATTGTGTTGCATACATTAGAGCCATGTTAGATTATGTAAAACAAGAGTTTTTAGTCAACAGCTCAAATCTTTTATAGAACATTGTTCATGCTATTGATTAAAATTATATCACATTTTAAACAATAGACTTGAGCAAGTCAAATAAATTTTGGAGAACTTTGGTTATGGCGCACATGACAATATCATTAGCATATAGAAGATGGTATATGATAAAAAAATGCAATAACAATATATTAGAATTATTATAATATATAATGAAATTATATATAGTATAATGATACAGGTAAAACAAAAAAACAAAAAAATTATAACTATAACTTTCTTAGCACTTTAACTAAATATTTTGTTGATTTTTACTTATTGACAACATTGTTAACACTTTTTGAGCGGGTCAGGAGTATTAGCACCCATTGCACCAACTGTTGTTTATCAGCAGGTCAGGTAATAGAACCCAATTTCTTTTGACAGTTATAAGTAATGTATTTTGTTAGAGAAAAATGTTTGGTTATTAAACTTGTATGTATATTTTATATATTGTATATTTACTTGTTATGTTTTATTTATTATATTTCATTTATGATGTTTAATATTTTATTTATTTTAAATTATATTTTAGATATTATTATTTTAAATTTTTTTATAAAACTATTTAATAAACTATCTGCATATTTTGTTCAAAAAATAAAACTCTATTGATAAATATATGTCTTATTGTTTTTTAAACTTTCATGGAAAAATCACTCATTAATACTTTTCTAAAGTATGGTATTTTAAAAAACAGTTTATCTTATAAAGAGGCACTTCACAAAATTTGCACATATGGCAAGTTTATGTCAACTTTTTTTCTTATGCACAGCACAAACAGGGCACACGCTAGGGTTTTACTTTTATGTCACCTGTAAAAATGTTGACTATTTTATGTTTCTTTGCATCGATTGACAATCTTCCTTTAAGACTAAATTTTCTGATATAGAAGATGAACTTGGTACAAAATGACTTTTATTATCCCAAGTAAATTTTATCTTATCTATTCCTTTGCTGTATCAAGTGAAAAAACTTTGTATTTTTTTTTTATTTAAATTTATTACTTTAAACTCTAAATAATAGACAATTTATTAAAAACATCACAGCTCTTTTAGTACTTATTTTTGTATGACATTGTAAAGTTTAATACGATAAATATTGATTGGTGGGATCAGCACCTTTTATATATTTGTTATAATCAACCACACATATTGGCTTAAAAATTCTTTCTTTTGTCACCCAATCAATATTGGCTTTCTACAAAATCAACTATGTGTATTGTTGAACTCATTCGGACAGGTCTTTTTGATTGCCATCATTGTAATACAATGTTTGCAACAACGAAAAATAGAGCCCTCTATTTTTAATTTTGCATTTTTTAAACAAAGAGGAAGGCCACTGTTTGTGCAAATAGTGCCACATTTCCAGAATCTATGTTGTAAAACTATTTTACAAGTGTCAGCACTATTATAATAGTTTTCCTATATATATGTGCAAGACTCTATTTAATTTAAGTCTCAGACAAAATATCTGGTCAAAACTTGTTTGGGTCGGAATCAAATTTTTAAAATATAAATGTCACTGTTTTATGGAACTGAGTTTTGCAATCGAAATCTTTGTCAAGTTATTCAGTTTATTTAACAATATTCTTGTAAAGTTGTAGTTTCTTTCCTTATTATTAAGAATATTTCATAGCATGATTTTTGTTTTTTAATAAAATAGTTTCAATTTCCTATTGTATTTTTTTTAGATAGACATTAGACACACTCTAACTGACAACACTTTTTTTTTTTTTTTTATAATTTGACAAAAGCTGTAGTGATGTTTCAACAATTTAAATGCAATAAAAAAATCATTAGGATACAAATAACTTTTAATCATTGATCTTAATTATAACGGTTGTTTAAAATAAATGCATTATGTCTAAATTAAATGTTATATTTACATTTTTTTTGTAGATATGTATTTTTTATAATAAATTTAAACGTCTAAAACCATTTTTCCATGTCTTTCTAAATTTCTTTTAAAAGACTTTTTTTTTAAGTTTACTTTAAATTATAAATAAGTTAAATTAAAACTTCACATGATTTAATTGTTTTTTTTCTATTTTTATAAAGAATTGTTTAAAAGTTTTTTTTAAACTTGACTTACTAATTAAAGCATGAAATAAATAAAAATGACTATTTTAAAAAGACTATGTTATTTTTAAAAAAACTTTTTTTTTTCTTTTTTGCATTTAAAAAAAAATAATGTTTACACAACTTAAAAATATTATATATATTTCTTTTTAATAATTTAAATAAAATTTGTTCATTTATTAAACAATAAAAGTAATTTGTAAAAGCGTTTTGCGTAACTTTAATAAAATGTTTTGAAAGATAAGTTTTAAGGAAATTTTTTTCAAATGCAATTTAAAACATAACAAAAAGTAATTTTATCTTCAAGTTTTATTTTGAAGCTAATTTACTTTCTTTTTCGTAACCAATTGTTTTGCTTATTCTTTAATTTTTTCAAAATTTTTCCAGTTTAAGTTTAGCTTAACATTTCTTTTTTCAGCGCATTTCTGAAATGTTTAAACCATCAAAATATCTAAACAGTCGTGGTCAAGTTGTAAACAAAAACAATCATTTGGGTAGTCAGCAATAGCGTTCAATCGCACGCCATTCCTATCCAAGCTTTATTTTTTAAAATTTAATTCATCAATAAATTGATTAGACAATCTGAGATTTTAGCTCAACAATGTCTAATGTCCAACTGTTAAATTGAGCTTTGTATATGGTGCCATAAGTTCAAATACGGCTGCAGAAGATTTAAAATTGTTTGCTGTAATTGACTTCCTTCCCCACAGTATATGCGAAAGTTGCAAATATAGCTGGTTTTAGCTTCACAAACCATTCTTATGAGAACTCTGTATTCATATAGATGAACTTGTTGTAGTATTTATACTTAAACATGTCATCATCTTTGTCTTCTAATATCACTACACTACATCATTTGTGTTACAATTTTATTACGTCATTTGTGTTACATCATTTGTGTTACAATTTTATATACGTTATTTGTGTTACAATTTTTTAAGTGTTTAACAACAACAACAACAAAAAGCATTATTTCTTTAATAATTATAAAAAAAATTTATAATAACAAATGTTGAATAACAGTTGAACATACCTTTTCCAAGCTCAATAAATCCAATTACTATAAGCATTGCCACACATGATAACTTTGCAAATGTGAATATATTTTGTATGGCAACAGCTAACTTCACACTTATACAATTTACTGTTGCAATAAGAACTAAAAAAGTTAAAAGTTTATAGAATGAACCAATTATTATATATAATTTAAAATTATAACTCATAACTAGGTGTAAAACATGGTAATAAAAATTATTATTGTGGGCCACAGTCTGAGCCTTGTTTTATATGGAAATATCTATTATCATTTTTTACCTCCTAAAAGGCAGTCAAGGAGGCTACTTTATTGAAGCTACAACCCTCTCTCAACTCTTTGAGTCCAAAACACAAACCTTGACAAACAACACTGAATGGAAATAAATCTTTAAAACTTTAAAAAAGAATTTAACATTAAAAGTTCCTCCTGCTATTAACTCAAGAATGACATTTAACATTAAAAGTTCCTCCTGCTATTAACTCAAGAATGACATTTAACATTAAAAGTTCCTCCTGCTATTAACTCAAGAATGACATTTAACATTAAAAGTTCCTTCTGCTATTAACTCAAAAATGACATTTAACATTAAAAGTTCCTCCTGCTATTAACTCAAGAATGACATTTAACATTAAAAGTTCCTTCTGCTATTAACTCAAAAATGACATTTAACATTAAAAGTTCCTCCTGCTATTAACTCAAGAATGACATTTAACCTTAAAAGTTCCTCCTGCTATTAACTCAAGAATGACATTTAACATTAAAAGTTCCTCCTGCTATTAACTCAAGAATGACATTTAACATTAAAAGTTCCTCCTGCTATTAACTCAAGAATGACATTTAACATTAAAAGTTCCTCCTGCTATTAACTCATTAACTCTCAATCTATGATGGTTTAAGATTAAGAATGCATTTTACATTTTTATGTACTCTGCTATCACTTATCAATTTACTCTGCTGTCACTTATCAAAATATTTTGCTGTCACTTACCAATATATTCTGCTGTCACTTATCAATATACTCTGCTGTCACTTATCAATATATTCTGCTGCCACTTATCAATATATTCTGCTATCACTTATCAATATATTCTGCTGGTACTAATCAAATATTAAACTCAAGACTATATGCAAAAATACATGGGAAAGCAATGCATAGATGTGTCTATGACGAACGTCAGAACTTTATAGAAGTTAAAGATTGTATAAAATTCAGCTGAACTATTCTAATAGAGTTCAATACTGATGCTTTGCTTTTTTTTTTTCTTTTTTTCTTCTTGTTTTGTTTTTTTTAAATAAATTCACGACCAATAAAACTGCAAGCAACAACTATTTAAGTTAGGAGTTAAAAGAAAGCAAAGAGAAAAGAGTAAGAAAGCAGTTGACAAAATACTTGTACTGAACAACAAAGCAGTTGACACTTAAAATCTGCAAACTATATGAATCATTCATACAGTTTACGAATTTTTAAGAGAATAAATTGAAATAAAATAGAAAACTAATTAATTTAGTAAACGTTCAGCTCTATTATTAGCTCTGTTTCTGAGCTACTAATAGAGCAGTAGCTCTATTAGTAGCAGTAGCTCTATAGGAGGTTTAAAAACCACAATGAGAGAGCCTACCATCAAAAAATAGCGTTACTTATCTAGATATGCTAGCTGGTAGTGATCAATTCTTAACCATAGTTAAAATAAAAACTAAATAGACAATACTAATATTAAAGCCTGTAATAAAAAAGCCTGTAATAAAATTTCAAAAACAACATCTATGAAGATTTAAATAATAAAGAATTTAACTCAAACACTTCAGATTCAGTTGATGCACTGTTAAAGAATTGGATGAAAGAGATCAATAATATAATGGAAAAGCTTCTTACAAAAAAATTATGTTGCAAAAAAGTAAAAGCCCTTGGGATCAATGAGGACACTAGAAACCTTTTCAAAAAAAGACTTATCTAAAAAAATCAAAAAATCAAAAAATATATAAAAAAAAACTTATCTTAAACAATAATTAAACAAAATTTACAGACAGTTAAGTAAGATAATATTGCTGTTAAAAATACAGTTAAGTAAGATAATATTACTTCTTTTCATAGACCAAAATGGAGTAAAGTTTGAAAAGCCTTAATTGAAAAAAAACTGACATTAAACCCACAAAATCTTTTTTTAAAAGTATTAGAAAAATAGAGCAGCTGATTATGATAATATTCCTGATTTGTTGATTATCTAATTCTCTTAAAATTAATTTGACATATTTAATATAATTAATTTATTGATGCTTCTACCTTTCCCAGTAAATGAAAGAAAGCTAATATTAAAGCTGTTTGGAAAAACAGAGAAAAAAAACAAACCAATTAATTATTGACCAATATCTATTTTTCTGATATTGGCCAAAGTATTTAAAAAAATTATAACAAAATAAATCGCCAACTTCAGTTGCTTAAATTCAGCAGTAAAAATTTAGGAATTATTCAAGCTGTGATATAGCTGTGATAATGGCTACTAACTCCAGGCTTGACTCAATAGATAAGAGATTATATATTGGAGCTAATTTCTTAGAGATTTATCAAAAGCCATTGATAGCATAGAACATCAACAATTATTAAAAGAACATATTAAAAGATTTATGGATTAAAAGCTATTTAGAAAACAATTGAAGAATAAAAAACAATTCAGAGTTAACTCCCTGGAAATATTGGAAAAATTAACAAAAAATGCTCCTCTTAAATATCCCTGGAAAAATTAACAAAAAATGTTCCTCTTAGTTAAATGTGAGTCTGATGAACATGTGCAATTTGCAGCTGAGATTACCCATTTAGCAGCAGCTCCTACTTTTGAATTAGTAAAAGAAAAGTTGACATTGGTTTTTGAGAAAACTAAAGTATATTGCAGCAAAACTAAAGTATATTGCAGCAAAACTAAAGTATATTGCAGCAAAACTAAAGTATATTGCAGCAAAACTAAAGTATATTGCAGCAAAACTAAAGTATATTGCAGCAAAATTAAAGTATATTGCAGCAAACTTGATGTGAATACAAATAAAACTAAACTTATAATCTTTAAAGCGAAAGAAAAAAAACTTCAGATGATTTCAAGATATTTCTGAAAAATGTTGACATAAAATCCCTTAAAAGTGTGAAATGTAGACATTAAATTTTTTAAAAGTGTGAAATTACTAGAAGTTGATATTAATCGACATCTTAGATTTAAAAAAAAAGATTGATTCAGTAGTAAAAAAATGCCATTCAAATCTTGGAATGATTAAGAGCAGCTAACCCTTCTATAATAAGGATGTTCATAAAAACTGACCATGAAGATAACAATAAACTTAAATTATTAATTTCTACTGCCAGCCACGGTAAAAAAAAATTTTGTTTAGTGGGAACAAAATTGTATTACAAAACTGTAGATATAATATAAATATAAAAAGTAGAAAGAAATTTGGCAAATATAAAAAAGGATGATTAATACTAACAAAAAAATAAAAAAAGTTTTTGTTTGCGCAGCAGAAGAAGGATCAGTACTTAAAAGATTAATTAAAAAAAGGTTGCAAATAAAAGTACAGGTATTCAGCTGTTATGGAGGTAAAAGTAGAAATGTACACAACAAGCAGTAACAAACTTTTCACATAATTTTATATTGTAGCTGCTATGTTACAACTATATGATAACAGTTTTATTTTAATGCTAAACTTTTCAAATAAAGTTGATTGATAGCTTAAACTTACCAATACAAAAAAATGACAGTAACTTGATAACATAATCAGGAACTTTTTCTTCCTTTTCATAAAATGGCTCAACAACATACTGTGCAAATATCAT